TCTGCTAAGGGAGAAATACGGTGGGGTTTATCGGAGAGGGACGTTTTCCCCTGGTAGTCGCTCGATACTGTTTTATCTCTTCAGTGGTTTAGTTCTGTTCTTGCGGCAAAATCCATTCGACTTTGCTAAAGATAGTGTGCTGGGCATAGGCTGCTTTGAACCTGTGGATTGACTGGGGGTGTGCCAGTCCTGCCTTGAATAGCATCCCCCGTGCCTTGCTTGGCTGTAGTATGTCCAAGAAGGATGTTAATGTAATTCTGCATCTCTCTGTGTCTGCAGGTGGATTTGTACTTCAGACTTTTCCCCTTTGAGGACCTCCTGCCCAGCCACAGTGATGTGGTTCTTGGAAAAGATCAGAGCATCACATGAAAATGGAAACCTCCGTAGCTCCTCCTTCCTGGGACTGCCACCTGGACAAAATCTGCCTGAAAAAGCCCGACTGGGGGCTGCTGCTTTTCCTAATGTGCTCACCCCTGACAGCATCCCTGAATTCTGCATTCCCCCCAGGGTGACCAGCTCTGGCCCTGTTAAGGGCATTGGCTTCCACCAGGACTACAGTTCAGAGGATGCAGATCTTAATTCTTCTCACTACAGCCCCAGCTCTTCTTTGCCACATCTCATTCAGGTGGAAAGTGCTGAAGAGATCCCAGCCCTGGAGGAAGAAAGCACCAACTCGGACCCACAGTCCCAAGCAGCGCTCTCCCTGCCTCACTTTCCCAGAGCCCCCACTTCCTATGGCTTCTGCACTTTGCTGGAGAGTCCCCACACCAGGAGAAAGGAGTCTATCTTCCATGGTGACCCACGTGGTGCTCTGCCCAGCCTGATGCTGTCTCGATCCAGAGCTAACACATTCAGTGGCAAAGGGAGTATGTCTAATCCCATTGCTATCAGCTTTGCTTCTATGAGGCTGCCTCCCAAGCATCTCTCTCTGCACAGGCAAGGTGCCTGTGACAGCGATACTGCCTCCTCCAGCGATTCCTCTCCTTTCAGTTCTCCACTTCTCAGCAGGTCACCTCCCAGATCCTGCTCCCTGATCAAAACCCAAAGTCAGGAGGGATTGCTCTGCCGAGCGCTGAAAGCCAAGAACAAATCCAGCATGGCCAGGAACAATTCTCTCTCTACAGAGGAGAGCAGCTCCACCGATAACAGCCCCAGTGCCATCAGGCGGGCCTCAGAGGGGCTGCTTGCCACGCGGAGCTTTAGCATGTCCTGTTCTCCCATCTTTCCCCTGGACCTGACCCGTAGTCGGGAGAGACTAGTGGGAGAGAGCGCTGTGGTGATGGACAAGGGAGGCATGTTGAGGCTGTCGGCTGAATACTGCTCGGAAAATGAAAGGCTGCGGATCCGTCTGATCAGTGCAGAGGGTTTGTATGATGACTCTGTAGAGCCCAAAACCATAAACTGCTGTATCACCTTCTCCCTGGTGCCAGGGAAAAAGCAGAAGCAGAGAAGCACTGTTATAAAGAGAAGCAGAAATCCCATCTTCAATGAGGACTTCTTTTTCGATGGCATTGCAGAAGAAGAGCTTTACAGCCTCTCTGTAAGGATGAAAGCAATGAATAAAGGGTGCAGTATGAAACGGGATTATACCTTAGGAGAACGGGAATTGTCTTTAATGAGTATGTTGTCAGTGTAATACTTCAAACATTCAAACAAACTAATTTTGTCTTCTGAAAGTTTTCTACTAAATAAAGTTTTGGGTTGACTTTTTTTTAAGAATACTTTAAAGCACTGCATTGCTTGGTATTACTCTCATGCTGTTGTGCCTTATTTTGTTGCTTAACACTTCAAACTCTGTCAGGTATTTGCCGTTAAACTAAAAGGCGGCCATGGAGCAGACCTTCTGCCCCTAGAGTAGGAGAGGAGGGGAGAAGGGCTAGTTTGCCTTTAGGACAAAGGATTAGGCAATTACGAAGTCAAAGCTGTTCTTGTTTATGGCTTTCTGGGTGTGGAGGTGGTGGTTTTCACTCACTCTGGTCCCTGACAGGTAGACAGCATGTGTATGCGGTAGGCACTGAACTCTATTGCAGCTCCCAGGTACTACATCAGTTAAATAGACCATTTTGACAGCACTCATATTTACGAAAATGAATGTTTTAATGCGTCCTGTGTTCAGGGAGGGGAAGAGAGATACAGTTTGTTTGGGAATCAGCCTTTCTCCTGCAATGGGGATGGGAGATTTAGACTCCCAAGGCAGGTGTAAGCCTGTGTTGAGACAAGAAGATCAGCTTCTGAGCAGCAGCTAAAAGCCACTGCAGGCAGGGCTCTTTCTCTCCACAGACCTATACTATCAATGCTGAACAGTGAGGTGGCTCCTGCCTGGAGTCGCTATGGAGCGGGTGATTGCTGTAGCGCAGTTAGCATCTTCATTTACCTTTCCTTCCCATGGCTGATTTCACAGCTGTCAGGATGAAGTTGCCAGGTAATTGTGTTTTGGTCAGGAATGTACCCTGGCGCTGTGACCCTCAGCAATTCAGCTATTGCATCCTTTCTGAAATCAAAGCAGATAGGATAAGATACCAATACGGCAAGGGCAAAGGATAGTTTGGGATCTCTGGGTTGAATTCCTGCTTCAGCTAATGACGTGCTGCATACCTTGTTCAAGTCATTGTGATAAAATTAGGATAATCTTTCTCTGTCCTGTACCAGCAAACAGCGAGGGGCTGAGCCACTTGCTTTAACATCACAAGAAACACAAAGGTGCAGAGCCCCTGCATGCTTCAGGCCACCTTCCCCCTTTTTTTTTTCTGCTGAGGTGGACTGCGGGCTAGGTAAAACAGATAAACTCGTAGGAACTGCAGCTGTGCAAGTGCGAGGAGGCAGAAACTGTTTTGAAAGTCCAGGCCTGTTGCTGCCTCCCTTGATTAAGTTGCAGGCTTCATTATGTGAAGGTAGATAAGCCTTAATGGAGGAGCAATCCACACAGGCGTGGGGCACAGAAAAGGAAGGTTTTCTTCTGTGTTCCCTGTGAGATGTAGAAACAGGGCCTTGCTTCTGCCAAATCTACAGCTTAAAAGCTCTTTTAAAAAGATTTCTAGCAGATCTTCCCCCTGCCCTATTCTGGCAAGGGTATAACTGCCTGCAAATCATGGGACTAATCATGGAAGGTTCTGGTATTGCTTGGCCACTGAATCATTTGATTCTGTTTCAGACTTAAGTAACCCAGGAAGGATTTTTTTCCTTCTGATAGCAGAAAAAGCCCAAAGGATGTTGACAGTGACCACGAGTGCTCAGAAATGCCCACTGCTAATCCTTGATCCAGCTCATGCGAGATGCTTCTAAAAACAGAATCCTCGTACAAGGGACAACTTGCCCAGGAGAATGGCTGGGTATATTCCCAGAAGCTGATTAAAATCAAATGGAATAATAATCCCTTTGTGCTGAAGGAAAGAATTAAATGTACTGACACACTGCGCAGCTGGAGGTGATGCACTGACACTTGTATCCTTGAATCTGGGAAAACTGACTACAAGGAAAAACCTAAAGGAAGTGGAGAGAAGTGAAATTAAAAAATGTGACTTCAAGGAAGAATCAATAATGCTGCAAAAAATTAAGCCTACTTAATTGGTTATTGCATGGGGTCTCCCGAAGGAAGGCAGAGGCTCCCTCTTCAGACTCATCACTCATCCACCATCATATTTTTAGTTCTTGGGACTTAAGGAGAAAGAGGCTGAGATAATACAGGAGAGAACAGTTATATGTGTCAGAGGATCACGTACAGTCACACAACAGTGGGTATCTATCTGCCCTGTGATACGCGCCGTGCCAGTGCTGTACTGCAGGGACACAGAATGATGGAACGGTTGAGGTGGGAAGGGGCCTCCGGAATGCAGAGCTGAATGCAGGGTCAGCTCCGGCAGGTTGCCCAGGACCATGTCCAGCTGGGTTTGAGTGCCTCCAAGGATGGAAACTCCACAGTCTGCTTGGGAACCTTACTCCAGTGTTTTACCACCCTAACAGTAAAAAACTTTTTCTTTCTGCGTAAGTGGAATTTCCTGTATTTCAGTTTGCGCTCATGGCCTCTTGTCCTGTCACTGGATACCCCTGAGAAGAGCCTGGCTCCATCCTCTTCACTGCCTCCCATCAGATATTCATAGACATTTATGACATCTTCCCTGAGCCTGGGGCTGCCCTGCAGGCTGATGGGCATAGTGTAGTTACTGGCATAAAAGAGAAGTGCTTGCAAAGTCTCATCCTTCATCAGGCAGGGAAGGAGTTAAGTCCTTGGAGAAAGTCCTCCCTTCCTGTCACAGGAAAATAAGTTTCCAGCTGGGCTCATCTACTCAGGTATTTAAAGAGGTGAGGGCTGCATCTTTGGTTGGTTGGAAGAAAACTAAGCTGTTTTTAAGGCTCTGTAAATAATGACTTACTTCTGAGAAAGCCTCCTTACAGAAGTTTAGTGATCGGCCTCCATGCTAGAGAGTGACTTGCTCCTTCAGCTGAAAGCAGCAGCAGACTTGTAGACCTGATTCAAAGGCAGAGTTTAAGTCTGGGAAGGATAGCTGGACTTTGCCTGTGTTTCTTTGGTAAATTCTAACTTCAGGTTGTCTTGACAATTTTGTTCTTTAAGGTAAGATCTTTGAATTAAGTACCTATTCAGCTACATTAGTCAGACTCAGGACTAAGTATGACCGTAACACTAGATGGAAAACAGTTTTGGTGCGTAACCTCCCCTTCTCCCCCCCTATTTTTTACATTTTTGAGGTATTTGATCCCTTTTGAGATTTGGGGTATTGCTTATCAGTTGTTGTTCTTATTAGCAATGCAAAGCCATAATACAATTTGAACACTCCAATTTGCTTGAGTATTAGAGGTGTAGGACTTGTTTTCTTGTGCTCTTAGAGGTCAGCTAAGCTGTAAGTGGTGCACTCCTACAATGCTGCCTATGCTGCAGCTGCTTTCCGAAAGCGTCAGCCTTATTGGGGCTATTACGTAAAACACCTGCATAAGCAAACAAGAAGGCAACTGGATACTTCAGCCTGGAAAAACTCATGATGCCTCGACGCTTATATGACAGTCAACAGCAAGAAGAAAATCCACCTCCTGGCATTAGCAAACAGCTACTCAGAGTTAAGAAATATTCTCTTCAGCAGTTTTCTGAACTTCGAAAATACCGTTAAAATACGATAACATAAATGACTCTCTCAAGCAAAACTCCTGTTTTGGGGTCTGATCAGCTGTGTTCAGTGGTGCTCACCGGTTGGAAGATCACCTCTTAATTTAATTTTTAAAAAAACCCTGACAATTGTTTGAGGAAAAAAAGGTCTTTCTGCCAAGATCCTGGACTCATGTTTTGCTAAGCAAATATTATTTGTTTCAGCTGCACTGGAAGTACTACTCGTGCTGCCCTTTTCAAACCCAGTTACTTTAAGCATGCCTCTTCAATTCTGGACAAATGTTACTGTAAAGCAAGTCTTACGTTTTTCTTTCCAGAAATCTACGCAGGTTATGCTCAAATACAGTTGGTCATGCAATGTACTGAGGTAGGGTAGGGTAAAATGCAATTCTGTGTTGCTTTTCAGGTAAAGTTCAGGAATAATACCAAGGGAAGCAAATATCTATGATCTAAAAAGCCTAACAGGACAGACGTGTAGACTGGGGATTAAGCAGCACAGTGTCTGCAGTATCAAATTCCATTATTGCACCACTTGTTCTAAGCTGCTCCCATTTCTCAGAGTGGCTCTGGAGAGGCACTGCGGAAAACAGCACCTGCGCTGCCTCCGAGTGCCTCCTCTGAGGGGGCTCTTTGAGGAGACTGGCACGTCTGTTCCTGCCGCTTGGCTTTTCAGTCAGCCCTAGTGACTGTGGTAAAAGATTGAACATATGATGGGGCCTAATGGGCAAAAATTCTTCTAGTTTTTAGTCTAACTATTAATTACTGTGGGTAACTTTTAGTTTCCTCAGAGAACTGAGGAAAGAACAGCTAGATGAATGTATAAATCTGTGAAAAGCCTATCTTTGGGTTGCCACGCTACTTCCCCCAGGCTGAGGAAGTTGTCCTGGAGAAACCTGTGTCAATCCGTTGCTCAGCGTAAGGACCTCTCTGCAGGACTGCTGGGCAGGGCATGCCACAGGCCGTGTGCTCGCTGGGCTGTCCCCATGCTCTCCAGTGACTACTGCCTGCTTTAGAGATGGGCAGTTGTCCTGCATCTTGATTAGAGATCTTCTAGCTTGCATAGGTGGCTGAATTGTTGGGCATGATATTTGGCCAAGGTATGAGTCACATCTATTGATATTTTTTTGCAACAGGATGTTTGATTAAAACAAACAGTAGCCTTGCGCTCACAGAGTGAATGGTGTAATTAGATGCTATCTGTTTTCCCTTACTATGTGCTCTGAACAAAAAAATGTGTGTGAGATTAATCTGCATATTTAAATGAGATGGCATTTAAATACAGACTTAATGCTGATGACTGTCACTGAAATGTACTCTAATATCATTACTAATAATGTCGTAGAAGAAAAGACTAAAATTATGCTGAACAATCTGCCCTCATAGCAGAGGTAAAATGAAGTTTAATGTAGCAGAGTGTCTGTGAACTAACCTACTTTGCGTCAAGGTGATTGATGTAAAACACATGTGGCAGGAGGGGACAGAGCTGCAGATGCCCAAAACTAGACCTCAGCCGGGTCTGTGCACAGCGTCATGCTGCCTGCAGAGTGGGGAGAAGGGGCTACATTCTTCTTCGTCTATAGGCCCGTTTTGCCTC